GACACCACAATGAGATCTCGCACCACCTCAAAATCTTCCTAGGGCAGCCTCTGGTTCGCCCCGTGAAAAAACTTTTCTTTCCAATTTGGCCCGGGGGCAAAAACTGTTGGCCACCCCTGGTCTACGCCCTCTAGGGTCCATTCAGAATCGTTTGCTCGATAAGCTAGTAAAAACCGTAGACTTCTCTAAATGTATTTTTAATAGATTATCTGACGTACTTCATAAATAAACAAGTTCAATATAATTACCTCTGTTATTAGATTCAATAGGTTCCCTATGCCCTCTAAATGCCAATTCTTGCTTTGATAAAAACGTATAACATCTATTAATTTAGATATAAACTATCTTGTTATAATTTTTAATATTTATTTTATATATTTTTATTAATGTTAATAGATTGTCCGTCATTTGTTTTCTAACTAATTCGTTTTACGACCAGGTGGTGTCACGGAAATTTCCAAAATTTACAACTTTTCGGTCACTCTCGTTGAACTGGAAAATTTTCTGTCTTTATTACATCTAATATTTCGAAGAAATTAGTCCCCACTGTACTCGGCTATAGATTGGTTCGGTTAACATTTTAAGTAAAATTTCGGCTCTTTCAGCAGGGTTTTATTTATGTCCCTAATTCCATAATCTCTTAATTATTTAACGAAGTAGTTACACTCACTTTAAAGCGGTACTGTACTACTGTGTTTTTATACTATACGTCCCTTCGGAACATTTAGAAATTCGAGCAAGGATGTTCAGCTAAACCACCCATTATATTTCTGGGGAAATGAAAGTAATGTGACCAGTAAATATTCTGTATTTACTGATTATTCGCTAGCCCTCCTCACTGATACGTAAAAATTAAAACATATTTGTTCGAATTTCAAAACGTTGTTTTTGAAAACATTTATGACAGGTGATGGTCGGACCATCAGCAACACAATCGTCGTGTACATGCCAATAAAAGGTTCTTATTAATCAAATATTTTTAATTTTTGAGTTAGACCCTCTCTGGGTTCTTCTGGATCCACAATTGATATAAGAATAGAAGTCAATATATAAGTTTGGTAAAATTATGACAATGGATTTTAACGTTTCCAAGTGTGTTTTAAGTTACTTAGAGGTTTCAAGACTTGGAAAAGTGAAGAGAATCCAATATCGTTAACAACTTCCTGGGTGATCTTGTTAATTAGGATAAGGGAGTAGGACACAACGATCCCGAGGCTGCTCCCTTAAGTGGACTCGACCTTCCAATTTTTTTCACACAAAATAATGTAGCAAAATCACTTCAAGTATTGATAAAGCTCGTGTCATTTAGTTTGTGAGCTCTGGTAGTGATGCATGATAGATGGATACATTGATCTTCATCCTCGTAGGACAATCGGGCTTTGGATAATTATACTGATAATATATCATCATCCATTCCAGTCTGCAATTATTGTCGCAAAAAAATTATTTTTAAAATCTTGTTTCGACTTTTAAGAACCGAGAAAAATTCATTTGTATTATTATATTTTAAATTTCGTGTAATTCTTTTGATATTTTAGTGTTTTATTAAAACAGAATATATCATTAATTGGAATTAATTTTTCTTTCTAAAGCTATAGTTTCGGTTAACTGCTTCAAGAGAACGCCATTCAAAATAAAGCATGAAAGCTTTCTACATTAATAAATATAAGCTGATTGCTATTAGCAGTTCAGATAATACTAACAAACTAATAATCATCGAAGTATGAACTGTATTATTGTAAGAGGGGAAATTAACATGTTTATATTTACGTGATTTAAAAGTTTTATTTAGAAAATTGTTCAATTGCAAACACTACATTTTAGTAATTTTTGCTCACTTTTATTACTAATTTATGAGATGATTCACTTCCTAAAATTGATTCAGAAAATTGTTTATTTCCATTTACTTATAATTCTTGAAGATTTGATATCTGAAAACGCTAGAACTCTGTATTCTATCCTTCTTCCATTATATAATTTTACACTTCATAGAATCTAGAAAAAAAATACAGCAAGAGATAATTTCTATTTCTTGCTGTATTTTTTAAAAATAGTGTCATGTTTAATAGTGTTTAAAAATAGTAGCCAATAACCATTTCGGTTATTGTGACACTATTTTTAATATTTAATAAAACATTAAATCAAAATACTAGAATTAACATAAGACATGTGTCCAACCCAAGGCCCGCGTGGTGATGGAGCGAAAAAGAAAAATCGGAACCATGAAAATGACATGGTGAGACAGGCTTTCATTAACGATCAGGAAGAACAATTTGTCTTCACACAAGAGAAGTCATCAAAGCCTGTGTTTGATATGTTCTGCCAAAGAAATATAATTTGGAAAGACACTTCAGACAGACAAGAGAGCTTCAACAGTATGTATCCTACTGGATCTTTTCTTAGAAGAGATTATATTTCAATGAAGAAGGCGGAAATTTCATCTCAGCAAAATTTTTGTCAAAAAGAAGGAAGAAATGAAGAGCACAATGAAAACTTCATATGAAATGTCTCTATTTCTTGCGCGGAAAAAAAAACACTTCAGATGATGTAATATCGAGGGAGAGCTTATCTATTTTTGCTGAAAACAGTGGCGATCCAAGTTTTATGATGATGGCTGAAAACATCGCCCTTTCCCGGAATACAGCTATGAGAAGAGTGGAAGACATGGCAAATGATGTATCGAAACAAATTAAAGTTGCTGTTGCTCTTTCCAAATACTTATCACAGCTTTCATCCATTGCAATTGAAATCACTGATAATGCACAATTACTCGTTTATGTTCGACGTGTTAATATTTTGATGTTACTCAAGATCTTAGTGGTCTCTGCCAGCTTTCAACTACAACTACAGATTCTGACATTTTTGAAGTACTGAAGGGCAAGATTTTGACAAAGACTTGAGTTAACTAGAGAGCATTTGCACTGATGGAGCTTCTACAATAGTTGAAAAAAGGAATGGCTGTATTTCTTTGCTTGTAAGTATTTGAAGCGTAAGTTATTTAAATACAATGGTATTATTCATCACGAATCACTGTGCTAAAGATGAAATTCAGCCATGTTATCGATCCCGTTACGCGCTGTGTCAATAAGATTCGGATGCGAGCTCTCAATCGTAGGGAGTTTAGTGTTAGAAGAAACCAACGAACATGGGGAACTGCTGCTGCATTGCTGTCCGCCGGCTTTCAAAAGGAAAGGTGTTGGCACGTTTCTTCCAGTTGAAAGACCAAGTGTTTCAGTTTTTTAAACACAAATGTGAGTTACCCACGGAGTGTGATCTACTTAAAGACAAAAATTGGCTCTGTGATTTAACTTTCTTGGTAGACATCATGAATTATCTTAATGTTCAGTACTTAAACAATTTTCATCTTGTAAGAGAGTATTATTTCTGACAATGTTCAACCTAATTAGTTCATTCAAGGAGAAACTAAAATTGTTTTCAAGCAATTTCTCTCAGAAAAATCTTGACCATTTTTTCACTCTAAAAACCGTTTAAAATGAGTGGATAATTTGGATTTGGACTTTTAATAGGTATCATTCTACCATTACAGCACAGTCATTTTATTCCCGTTTCAAAGCTGAAAGGAATAACTTCACTCTGTTCATCAATCCATTCTCCATTTCGGACAGCGATATACGCACCCAAAACCCAATAGGAAATTGTAGACATTGCTATAAGTTCTGAGTGATTTTTGTAAAATCTCGAGAGTTATGTGAATCACAACTTCCGATTTGATAATTTTCTGGACATTTGTTCCTGAAATTCATCTTTCCCTGCATTTTGTGTGCAGAGTTGGTTCCACCTACGTTTTTGATCAGACATTTTCAGCAATGAGCTTGGTTAATAAAGTACCATATGTATTGGCAGACGTTCAGGTGGGCAATCTGCTCCTGTTATCAACCTCGAAAGTAAATCCTAATATTGAGAAACTTAACTGAAAAGCAAGTTCAGAAATCACATTGAGCGGATTTAAAAATCGGATTCTTTGGTTTTCTATTAGAATTTCAATTTTTTTGTTCTACTTTCAATAAAAAATGGTTTTAATATTTTCACTTTCACTCTAACTCTAGTGGCTTATTTAATACAGTATTTGTTTATGCATCCACCTAACAACATATTTTAATGTTTTTTTATTACTTTATATTTGTTTACTTTTAATATTATTTAGTTTATCTTTAACTACTAATTTAAACGGGGTATAGGGATGGTAGGACACCTCTACACCCAGTTTAATTCGTGCCCATTTATAGACACGCCTGTAAAAAAGGTTGGTCTTCAGATCTTATGCCAAAGGTGGTCATACATAAGGCATAAAAAGTTTGTCTAATCTTTCTAAGATTCAATTATTTGTGTATTGCATGATTCTGTCTCTTAAAACAAAAGTCCAAACTTTAATATGTTTACTTTAAGTTTTAAAAAGTAATTTGTAGAAAATAATTTATTTGAAGAAAAGACTTGCAGCTGTAATTTTTACACTAAAAAATTTTTAGAAACATTTTTATATTTTGTATATATTTTATTGAAATCTAATTATTCGCTTTCAGTTATCAGAAACTTTAATAATTTAAATTTTAATTTTTTTATACTTTTAAAATTGAGATTAAAATAGTAACAGAGAAAAGTATCATAAAAATTTAAGTAAATTTAGTTTCTAATAAAATGCATAGAAAACTAAAATCATTTGCCACGCATTCAGAAACTGATAAAAGTTAATGTCTCATTACATACTGGCACTTAAATACAATATTTTGATGATTCTGTTTACGATGTGTATTTAGTACATACTATAAATTGTTATAAAAATTCAAAAACAAAGTAAAAGCTTGCATACAATCCTGTTCTAAATTAAATTAAATGGATTTTTTTAATATAATTTTCATCATTTTTCATATTTCCAAATGCTTGGCAAAGTCTTTTCATTTTTGATCATTTTACAGGTAATTTGATATTTTAATACATGCTTGTTAATGTCTGTATAAATAAATAAAATGCAAACACTTATGAAGTGATTGAAATGACTGTGGGTATTTTAATCAATTCAACAATCTGCTACGTGAATCTGTTTTACAGTCATTTTTTTTCAAATTCTGTTCAGAATAATATTACAAGACACAGAGATTGTTCTTACAACAACTGCCAGTTGGTATATTTCTTTTGCATCAGGAACAAGAACTGCTAGTAGATAAAACAATGATTGTTATTTCTCTTCTTCCTGGGCTATTTATCCCACGCAAAGAAATTTTAATACAAATACATCTCTTTTTTTTTGATCGTATCAATTTGTGCTGGAACAGAAAATAAATTGAAGAACCATAAGTGACAAGGGAATAATTGCATATCCTGACAAAGAATAGGATACATGTATTACATGATTTCCACAACATTTCTTGTTTCACAAGAGATGAAATTATTCAATTTATAATATATGATGGTATTGCTGGCTATTTTCACAATGAATAGAAAAAGTATCTTCCTGTTTGTATGGAAAATAAATCTATTGTCTGAATAGAACTAAACTTCCAAGTCAATCCATTAACAGTTATGTAGACAGAATACAAAAACCATAGTATGGAATTTTATCCTAACAATTTGTTGACACATTTTCTGAAAAGTAGGATTTAGGAGTGGGTGGCAATTTTTATTAATTATTTACTAAGCATGTAACATGAAGTTTTCAAGAAAACTCACAATTACACCTACAGAATCACTGTGATTTTTCATTTTTTTTCTACAGTGGCTATAGATGCATTTGCTGACAATGGATTGTTATTACACACAAACTTGAGCTTAGCTTGGCAAAGCAGAAAGGACCAAGATTTCGTGTGAGCATTTATATATTTTCACAAAACTGCATAATGTCTCCACCCAATTTGGTCTGCAGTTGTGGTACCTGATAACAACTATGGTACAGGGAACACCAAGTAGTAGATGCCCATCAAACACACACATCCAAAAAGTTTATAATGTCTTGGATCCAAGAGGGAAAAATTATTTGGTTCACGGCTAGTGCAGTTTGACTGCTGTTGCTAAGTATCAAGGCAGCACCACACAATTATTCTGGACAGCTAAACTGTCCACCACATGGTTCTCACTCCTGATTGGTTTTTTTTTCATTAAGCAGGTGAGATTGTTTTCTCTTGGTAATTTTTTTTATTCCAATTATATAGTAAACTGTTTGTAAAAAACTGAGGTCAATAATAGTTCTGGCAACAATTAACCCAAAAGTGGGTATGCTTGATGAAACAAACCCAACAATAAAATTACATAGAGATCCATCCCTGAAAAATTGGTAGATGCATTTATTTGTACATAAAAGATTTTTTCCTCCACGAGTATTTTTAATAATCAGTCATTGTCAACACAAGAAAATAAAGTGGCAACACTATCTTGTAAGAATTGATGCTGTTGTGTTGTTATCTTAGGATCTACGAGCATTAATCTTGGCAGAATTTGCAATGAACACTTTTACAAAGGGAATAGAACCTGACCATGAAACACCAATACATACAATAGGTCACAAGTGTACTATTTAAGAGACTGTAGATAAATAAAACAGCCTGGTTGAAATAGTAATCTTAAAATGGTTCTCTCTTTTTTTTTTTATAAATAATAAACAATGTTGAACAAAAAATCTATTGGCCGATGAAAGTCACCCTACTGCATCAATTGTATACCTCATCTGTTTGGAGTCAAGTGACACCCATGTCTTCATACAATCAACAGTTTTGTAGTGACAAGACAAATGATGGCGGTGAGTGATATGGAGAGGAAAACTGACATGCAGATGAAACTTTGAAAAACTTGCATACTTTGCTCCCTTAATCCTCCCAATCATAGTCACTGTACATGATACTACATGTTACATAGCCTCGCTGTACACTACTGTTTGTGTTTTAGTTACAACATACAGAAGTTTATAGCAAGGGGAATGATGCCATTAAGAACCTCTTTCTTATCATTAGAGGTCTGGAACCACACACACACATACAAACACAAATGCATACTTCATGCACACAAACAAATGAACGTACATGCACACATTTCATGAATTTGTGTCACTGGGCTTCCGATTATCAACATCAACTTTTACATAAATTGGCCAGAAAAGTGCTGAGGATATTAAAACCATGATCATAAAAACAAAGAAAAAATAATAATAAAAGTCTTATTCCCACCCTAAATCACAAAATTTTTGTATCTGTACATTACAAAAACAAAATTTAGATACTGACCAATTATTAAGAAGCCAGTGAAATAAAGACAAGAGTCTATATCATAAAACATGAAATGAGTATTATGATGGTGGTCAGTTACTTTTCACTTGTTTGCAAATTGTTAAATCTAATATTTTTTACAGTAATGTGGCAAAATGTATTTATTATTGCATGGAGTACTTAGGATGTTGTGTGTTCTTCTCAAACCTCTATCCATCTTGTATACACACATTTTAATCTTCATATATTGCCATTTTCTCAATCTGATCCTAAAAATATTAATATAATTAATACTTATTTTAATCTGAAAACAACAATTGCATTAATTCTTTGAAATTAAAAGTTTTTATACCTGGCACCTTTGTTTCTTATTTAGCTTCACAAGGGTGCTGACTGATGGCTAGTACAAGCCTGCAAATGGCACTGCATGTCAATTCCTCCACCACCTCCAGACATCTAAATTAATTGTTACTATTTTAATTCTTTATAAAAATACAAATATTTCATAATAAAATTTATTCTCAACTTACATTTTCTTGACCATAAGTGGGAATTCCATAATCACCCATTGGAGGACCATCTTCCCGTGGTGTGCCAGGACCATTGGCAGGTGAACTTTTCATTCCATCCAGGCCATCACCTATATAAGTGTACAAAATTTAGTTTTGTACAGTACATATAATTATATTGTTAAATTCAAATGCTATGAGAAAGCCACTTGTATATATTTATTAGAAGTGTTGAATACAATTGTATGTTAAAAAGTAATCATCAAGGACATGAAAATAATCTTGTCTAACAAAACTGTTACATACTTTATATAGATTATTATTATACCATAGAAAATTGTTATAGTATGTCTATTATTTTGGTGGTGTAAATCCTGGTGTATATACTAAGTCTTAGTACTATACAGGACCACCAAGTTCAAGATGTAATTCTAGAACAAGCTACTATTAATCTAAAGTTAAAATTATATAAATAAACTTCATATGAATAAGCTCTCAAGAATTATAGTATCAAGTTTACTTAAATTACATAGTATAAGATATTGCAAATAATTTTGAGCAACAGATGATGATATGATTTATTAAAAAAGGACATTAGAAAAATCTTCTCCAGTTATAAGAAAATTATGCTTATATTGTTTTAAATAATTAAAAAATTCATTTCTAAACTGAAGCACATTTGAACTTTGTACCATCATCAATAGAATTACCTTTTTAAATGTTAAAAGAAATTTATCTTAAAATAATTTGTGTCAAATGCAAAAAACATAAATTATATTATTATTCAATTAATAAAATTAGACAAATATATTTAGCTTTAAATTGTATAATTTTAGTGGAAGTTATTAAAAGGTTAAAGTTAATCTAGTTAATCTATCTAGGTTTCCACAAACATCTTTTTTGCTTGATTGCATAAACATCTTTTAATTTTGAAGTTTTTTTCTTTTTTAACATTCCAAATAAATCTATCTAGGCCTCTAACAATGAACCAGCAAGGTTATAAAAAGAATTTGGATTTTATATTTCAAGACAATAGAAATTTAATTTTTGTAAAATGTTGTGAATATGAAGGATCACTTTAACTTACTGAAAAAATTAGGATTAAATTTAATCCTAATTTTTTCTTTTTCTTATAGGTTTGTAAAATGAATTTATAAATTATTTAATTAATACTTAGAACAAATTTATAAAAAACAATAATACTTCATCATATTGTCAGAAACTGGACAAACAAATTAATTACAGATGATAAAAATCCTGAAAATTAGTGGTTTGTCATAAATTAAATATTAATTTTATATTTATAAGAAACCACTAAATTTTCAGGTAAATACGTGCAAGTTAATTTTTATAAAAGGATGTGTTTTTATAAATTGATCTAATATACCTTATTCATACAATAATTATATATTGCAATGTATAATGCTATTCAAATTCATGATAGAAATGGTATTTGTAAAAATAAATAAATACAACAGAACTTTGACTTATGTTCTGAAGTGTTTTTTTTATGATCTATTCAACAGACAACTTCATTTTCAGATGTCTCCATACCTATTTTTAAAAAAACTACCCTTTATAAAACAATTTTCAATGATCTCATTCTTGATCCAAACAAAATTGCCCAAAAGATAAAAGAATTTTCCTACTTGACACTATCGTATATCAACAAAAGTCATATTAATTTGTCTTTGACTATAATCTAGTTCTAATATTCTTGCACACATTTTACTTCTGTAGTATGTTTTTAAGTTAGATTGATTCAGCTATGCAACCAAGAAATCAAGTAATGTAGGTGACCAATTTCTCATTTTTCTACATTTTGTTCTATTCTGACACAGTTTGTTGGTACACTTAAACATCCTGTATTTCTTTTATTTTTATATTTACATTGCTATTCATTTATTTTGAGTGACTTTGTGTGTCTTCATGAAATCAGTTGCAACAATTGCACCTCTATAATCTCACTATAAAAATTACTATCATGCCATATCAAGTACATATTAAGATTTTTATTGTTTTAGTTTACTTAGCTTTATTACTTATACTCCAGATAATATAAAAGTAAAGATAGTCACAGTAAGTACTATTTATTGTGATCACCAATTCAAAATGATAAAATTCTCTGTATTTTAGTCATTATTAGAATCCTACTTTCAGATATTTGATTTAGACGAATATCAGATATTTTTGTGTCATCTTCAAGGCAGGTGGTGATGATATAGCCTATACTTTGTAGTGTGAATTCAATACAAGCAAAAATGAATAAATATTTTACATAATTAACTAACACTGGAAAATCTGAAAATATTTAGATTTTGTTCATTGAATTTTGTACAATTATCAAACAAAACAAAGAAGTTATATGACAAGCAAAACATTCATTAAAATGCAATTAATTTCTAATGTGTTGTTTTATTTAAAATAATTAAGACATTATGTAATTACAATAGTTTGTTTAATGAAGCAATGTTCAATAAAAAATAGCCATAAAATGATGTTTTATTATTGTAACTATTATTTTCTGAAAAGCTTTCCAGAAAAAATTTTAGTGTTCCATTTTCATATTTTCAATTTATGGTCACCTTAAATTTTTTGTATATACTGTACAACATTACATATTATAATGGCACATTGTTAAGGTATGAATGTATTGTACAATTGTCTACCAAAGCAAACTTTCAAATTATATCCCATTTAACTAACTAATTATTAAAAATCAATCATCCATAACATTTGCATTTGAACAGTAATCACCATTAAATCCTAAAGCATCTAGTGATTGGAAAAATTAGTCCTAGAAGTCTTTGTTTCTGGCCTTGTCACAGTTCTTTGCTGTGTTAATATACATGTTCCTTCAGTGATTTTAAATCCTTTAGCACTTTCATGTTATATATACAGTATAAGTATTTTTGTACAATGGCTGATCATGAAGTGCTGTTTTGCCTGCATTGTAGATACAATATTCAGCGATAATTTTTGGCTATTCTGTCTTTATCCACAATTCAGCTGATGCACTCGTGAGAAGAAAAGTTCTGATTCTGCATCTATAAAAAATGTTCTCTCATTTTTTCCATAGGTTGAACCACCCATAGGTTGCAATAAAATATTCCCCTATTTTTAGCTTTCTTCTGCTTTTATTATGCACTTGTTAATGGGCTATGAATGCAATTTTCATAAACATAGCTTTTAAAGGTTTGGTTTAGCACAGGCATGGCCAACATATGGCCTGCGGGCCGGATCCAGCCCGTCGAATGAATTTATGTGGCCCGCAATTAATCTCTGAATATAAGCTACTCAAGTCCAAATAGCTCGATGAAAAATTCTGATTGCCTTAAAGGAAAAAAGATTAACAACTCACTGTGTGTTTAGAGGTTTTAGAGTTAATGCTCCATTACAAATCTCTTAAGTACAGCATAGAATGTTGAATAAAATACTTTCTTACTGGAACCACACAATAAATAAAATCAACACCTTTAAATAATCCAGCAAATCGTTTTTTAATACTTTAAAAACGCTTTCGAACGCTTTAAGCGATCATCATCAGTTAACTTTGTGAATCGAACGAAGAAATTCGAAACTACGTTTCAAACGTAGTTTCGAATTTCTTCGTTCGATTTTATTTATAGAATGTTGATAATGCATGATAGAGATTACAGATACATTTTCTACACTATGTACAATGAGATCTCACACCACCTTAAAATCTTCCTAGGGCAGCCTCTGGTTTGGCCTGTGAAAAAAGTTTTCTTTCCAATTCAGCCCGGGGGCAAAAACTATTGGCCACCCCTGATTTAGCACCTTTGCTATCTTTCCCAATTCAATTTCTCTTGTAAACCATGTTTTCATTTTTTTTACTGATATTTGTACAGAGTGAAATTTCAAGAAAGTTCAAAGATGTCTCTCAAATTCAAAATCCAGAACTTAATATATTAATAATAAATCCATCAAAGTTCCTTTACACTGAAAAATTTTTGACTGGAGCATCAGCCTGACAATAAGATGTAGTAGTTGATATAATTTTCACATAAACAGAAGGTACATTTATTCCAATCATTATTCATTTAACCAGATAGTATTATAGTTCTTGATTAAATTTTGAAATTTATAAATGGATGCTGTTTGATTTGTGAGAAAAATTATTGATGTTGGCAATTTTGATTCAATAATAATATTTCTTGACCTGATATGTATACTTTAATACTCCCATGTAATTTATCTGAAAAAGATTAAAAGTGTATTTCTGGGTGTATTATAAAAAAATTATCTGATTAAATATGGAAATGATAATTTAAAATAAAAATTGTTTGAATGTAATCCAGAGACAAATTTATTCTATCAAAAGATCAAGAAAATTCTTAATATATCAATGGATTATACCTTTTAAACTAGGAATGAGAAAATTCAATCAATATATTTCAAATATATATTATTTAAAATACAAAACTTAATTTTGTTTGGTTTCTACATACAGTGGATGGAACCTCACTTAACAAGCATAATTCATTCCAGAATTGTACTCATTAAGCAAAACAATTTTTCCCATAGAAATTAATGTAAAATAAGATAATGCATTCCATGCTAAAAAAAATACTCAAATATTTTATGTTATACAATTTTCTTTGAATAAATGTTATATGTGCATTGTTAAGGAGCATGAATTATCATCATCTTTTCTTCTACCATGGAATAAACCAACCTGAAATGAGAATTAGATTTGCAGAAAAAAAAAAATCAGATAATATGTTTGATAAACACTCCAAACGATATGCCAAATTCTTGGGCTAAGTAAAGGCTGTAATTAAATATTAGAAATTAATTAATTTGACTAGATGTAGGCAGTTATGCTTCTAGTTCGTATTAAATTTAATGACCACTTAAACATTTCTAAAATTTAATTTGGAAGACTGATGGAGCATGCGCACAATTCAGGACTTTCCCTCTCCTCGTCACTCGTTATGCAAAACATCACTTGTTAAGCAACGCAATTTTTTACACTTTGTTTTGTTTGTTATGCGAAACACTTGTTATGAGAAATTCCACTGTATTACAAACAAGTGGTTCTCTCTTTTTGCTGCTCTTGTTTATTTATTTTACTTAGTGAATTATTAATTATTGTTTTTATTTCATTTGTTTTAAGGTTGGGGATTTGTAAAGGAATTTTCTTGATTTTGAAAATGATATGGACTATTTCATTAAAAAATCCCTTACTATGCCTAGTAACTTTAATTTACCTTCTGTTGAAATGTCATTGCTTAGAAGAAGAAAAAAATGAACTTCAATTTAATGATGATGCATATGCTGATAGTATTTTTTTTTAATTCAAACTAATCATATTGAATTATTTTACTAAGAAGTTAACTAATATCTTAATATAAATCAGTATCTAAAGAACTTCCATTTAAATTACCTGAAGACATTCCATTCATCACTGGAGGACCCATTTCTGGTCCCATAGGTCCCATTGGTCCTTCAGGGCCTGGACCCATTGGAAACTATATGATTACAAACAAATAGTTATAATTCAGTCAGTTGTATTATAATTTAAAAAGAGAAAATAAAATACTAACCCCAGATAAACTTCCACCTGGGACAGGTTTCATCATTGTATACATTCCGTCCGCTCCAGAACCTCCAGAATCTAATAAAATAAAAATCCTTAATTAATATCTTGAAATTCTTTTTATGCTTATGTAGATAAAAGTTTGAATTTAAATAATAATAATAATTTTATTGAAATTTTAATATGTAAAGTATTAAAAATGTTAGTAAGATATCAAATTCATATTTTGCACTGAAAGAAGTAAAAATTATTTTAAGTATGCTTTTTAATAAATTAATAAAGGATTTAGGCATAAAAGCAATTGTTTCTAAAATTAGATAATTAGTATGAAATTAATTCAAGTGAATGGGTTTATAACACTAAAATATAAACAAAAATTGAAGTTGTATGCTGGTCAACAAGCATAAAGCACATCAAATCCATGGTCCAGCCTCAAATTGAATGACCTAGCACAGAGCAAAACTGTTAGTATAAAATGACCAAGATGCACATGCTAAAGAGAGCTTTGGTTAGTAGCTGTGAAAAATCAATGCTAAAATTTTAAAAACAGAAAAAATAAAATAGCAATAACAAAAAAGTTGGAGAGACTCCAGAAGCATGTATCTTCACCTCTTCTTGGAGTGGGAGCATTCATTCTGTGACTTGCAGGAGAATAAGGACCAGTTGAACCTAGAATACAGGAATGCTGGAATCAATATGTTATCAAAAGATAATTATTATGAATCACACGTCTTTCAAGATGCATCCACCTTTGGATTGTTGTCATGCAACTCCAATAAACTAAATTAATAGAAATTTCCTAAAAGATATTAATTAACATCAATATTAACAATAATTTAATACAATATTTACATATGAAAATAGAATACGTGAACTTTTAATATAAAAACTACAATCATCTTTTTACTAATTAAATAATAATAATGTTGAAAATTCTGTATTTGCATAGAATGAAAACGTAAAATTTTGTCACAACATATTTATATGTTTAGTAGATCAATCTCTCATATATTCAACATTATAAATAAAAATTTATTAAGAATTTCAACCTGATTTTAACCATTAAAGTTTCTAAAATTGATTAAACTGATAAACATAAATTTATGAAAATTACTCCAAATTAGTCAATTATTAACATTTATATATTATTGTCAATAAAAGAGATTCTGATCTCAAACAGAATTAGTTGAATTAATGCAAGAAAGCAAGTTTTACTCTTGCACTGCATAAAAATTTTTTTAGAAAAAGACATTCAAATTTGCTGCTAGTAATAAATATTACTAGCAGCAAATTTGTGTTTTGTGTTTCATTAATAAAGTGGAAATAAATAATCAATATTTTTATTGTAAAAAATTAATTTTACATTTATTCAAAAAGTTACTAATTGGTGATACAGGTACAAAAACTGCCATCTCTACTGAGAGCAAGCTTGAATGTGTTTTTGATCAAAATCATTAGAATATATAAAATTCAAGAATAAGTTTATAAACATGATTATTAATAATTCAGTTAAGTAGAATTTCCTATCTGAAATCTCTAAAGTAATTAGACAGCTATCAAGAATATTAGTCATAACTGAAATTATTGTAAAATACAAAAGAGGATATTGAAATAATCAAGTGACATTCTGAAACATCACAGTCTATATAGCTAAAATGAAGATTATAAAACATATTGATAAGCAGCATGGATTACTGGAAAGTTTCAAATTTTGGTTACATATTTAATATTGTTATTAGATGTATGTTTTTGTTAAAATTTTTGACTAAAGCTAAAATGTTTCCCAAAACTGAATAGCTTTGAAGCAATTTATAATAATTATTATGTTAACCAATTGGAATTATCATGTAGGCTGTTTTTTTCAAATTCCAATGGTCCATAAAGCAAAGACAAGTGTAAATAACAAAATGAATTTATTACGAAAAGTTAGGTACAAACATGATTACTTTTTGACATAGTCACCGTGAAGATTGATGCATTTGTCATATCTGTGGACGCGCTTTTCCATCCCTTTGTCATAGAATGTTGCCGCCAGTTAATTGAGATGACCTTAACAACGTTGTTTTAAAGATGTAAATGTACTGATGTAAACATAATATATCAGAAATACTTGGTTAAATATTAGTTACTGCTAGTTTTAAATTAGTTTGATATGAATCTGTTAGCCGGTTTCTTGTTTTAATAATTATTAAATTCATTGCAGGGAAAACTATTCATACACATAACTTGTAAAAAATAACATTTGAATTATTGCTGGGAAATTGATATATTTATTCATATTTTATGTGACACGGGCCACAAAAAATATTAATGTGGGCCACGTAGGCCAGGGATGGGCCGTACAAGATGGAAGGAAAAATACAACTAATTTTGGAAATAAAGCAAACTTAACTACTTTCCAATATTCTAAATTCATACATAATAAATTTTAATATTTTCACTTTTTTATTTGCTGACAATATCTTTATTAAATTTCCTTACATTCTAAACTGAGAATTATCTGAAGAGGATGAGTTGAAAATAAAATATTTATTTCTATTCTATAACAAACAATTATATAAAAGTGTGCTAATTTCTTGCCTTTTTTTTATAGTTGACTTCACATCATTGTATAATAATTAATTTTATCTTTATTGCATTATATGCAATTTATTTTCAAACTTTGTTTCTTTTTTTCTCAATTTAATTTTTTTCAAACTTTTTAATAATTATAATTGAAATTATGGATAAATGAAAATATAAAACATTTTTTGATTTAGAGTTAGTCAAATAAAAATTATTTAGATTATGAAAAGCTTCCTCCATATGTAAAAGTAAATTCTATACAATCTGCATAATGTAATTACCAAAATTTCCTGCGTATAACCCACAAAAATTGCTGTAATGTAGAGCCTGCACTTGCTTTCAAATTGACATTAAAATGGAGAATTCATAAATTATTTCAGGAAAATTTGGTTCAATTTTCCCTCTAAAATTATAATACAGTAAATAGAAAGCATCTGTTACAATTACGATCATAATAAATGTAATTTTTATTTTGATGTTTACAGACAAAAGATTCACAATTGTATATATCTTTACATTCAGAATTATATGATTTTCAGTAAAAAAAACCTCAAATTCAAAACTTTTCTATGGAATAATCTGGATCTAATTGAATTTTTAGAACAGAAATTGAAACTAGAACAAAATGGAATTGAAATAAATAAATAAATAAAAATTTCTACACAATCAATATGAAATATATCAATACAAAAAATTGTAAAGAATAAATTCTTTCTTACAGCTATTTAATGTCAATAATTATCATACATAGATTACATTATACATATAAAGCAATGTAAACCTGAATATTAATTTGAAATATTCGAATTTTATATTTTTTTGATCGCTTTTTTCATTTTCACTTATTAATTTCAAAATATCGTACTGTACATTATTTATTCAATAACTAAATTTCTCAATATGTTTGCATAACCATTTTATAAAAATAAACAGGGTCTTATCCTATAATACTTGACAACACTACATTTTGTGTTATCAAATATTACTTATAATATAAACTCTAACTAAAAAGTTATAAAAGATGACCTATTCCAAATAAGTTGGAATATAAGTTTAATTTTCATGTTCAATTCATCTCTACTATAATTTTGTAATTTTTAATACTGACTTATCAAGGAGAGTAAATGGATGCAAAATACCTCATTACAATAATGCTGTATTCAATATTGCTTTTCTACATGGTCACATGTGCCAATGTCAACTGAACAATTACTTAACATTTTCTTGCATTGCGGCATCTAGTCATTTTATTTGAATCATTCATACACATACATACACATTTATATATGTGTATGAATGATTCAAATAAAATGACATAAAAAAAATATATATATGTGGCATTTATAAAGTTTATTAATCCAACACCTATGAGAGCAGAACAGTGCCAGATCTGGATATTGCTATATATTTTGTACTAGTGCATGCATGCTGTTGTAATCTTCCAATTTGTTATTTAAGTACTTTGATGATATAGTGGATGACTGAACTATATTAATACTGAAAATCCTGCAAAAATGTTTACAAACACATTATTGCAGAAAGTCAACATTTACGGTGATCATGAACATGTACTATATACAGTGCCATAACTAGCCATTCCTGTGACCTGTGCAAGAATTTGCATTTATGCCCCTTAATTAATTAGGTTTGGGAAAATAATAAAACAAATACATGCCTTTTTTGCTCCCCTTCCAAGTGGGCACTGTGTGGGTGCACCTGTTGCCCCTGCCTAGTTACAGCACTGACGATATATATAAAATTCACAAAAATTATTTGAAGCTCTGGGTATAAAATGCCCATTTTCTCACATTGGCCTTTGGAAAAGAAAAATACATCAATCATGCATGTTACTGAACATGAAGTGCATGCACTAGCTCTAACAAGGTAATGTTTGTTTACAATATAGAATACAGGATCATTAACACTAATGTTCAAACAAATTTAAATTTTCAGATTACCAGTATGCCAGATAAATGTTTCACAAACTTCTACTCACTCTCTCCGATTTCTTTTTTTACATTTTAAATACTCTATGCCAGGGGTCAGCAGAAATGTGACACCTATGGCATGAACATTTCAGATGCACCCTCTAGAACCATAGTCATGCAAGCACAAATACATAAAATTACAAGTGTATATGTATATTTAATTTGATTTTGTGTTATTTTACGTTTGTACAGTACTTTTAATTTTTATTTTTTATTTATTACATGCATATATAAATATACATGTTTCAAAACATAATTAGTTTGTTTATTTATTACAACATTGTGGATTTTTTTCAAACATTAAACTATGCACCCTCAATGGTTTTTAAAATTTTTATTGCCCCTTAGTAACAAAAAGGTTGCTGATCCCTGCTCTATACAATTTGTCATGTTAAATGATTTTTCTATGATACTTGCTCATATGCAAATTCTTGATTTAAAAGAAAAGCATATCTACTATTATAGCATGTGTTTTGATTAATATAGTATGATTGACAAGTGACTAAACCAAAATTTTCCTGAAAAATAATCAATGAAATTTTCTTAAAGTATTAATATTAAATTCTTCCTTTTTAATATTTTCTCATATAGACACTTAAAATTAATTATTAATATCCAAAAGAATTGAATATTAAAGATAAGACTCTCATTGATAAGATGAGGCATTTCAGCTGCCAAGTTATTGTCATTTAATTGACTTAATCTGAATCAATTTTGGACTATTTTGACCAAAAATATTAATTACATAAAGCAAAGAGACACCCACAATTGCAGTAAATAATCAGGCTATAATTCGGAAATATTAATATTTACAGCTAAGCATCGGGTTTTGGGAGTTGTTTATATCTGTATATTAATTACATATTTTCTCAGATTATTTTGATAGTTCATTTGAGAAAAAAACTAAATTTTACATATTAGTTGGATTCTTTCTTTTGCATAATGTAAGATTCTAACAATATTGAAAAACAAATATCATTCCAATTTTTTACTTTATTGTTTTAATTGGATATTTTTGTGTTTTTTTTAAAGGAATGTTTTAACCTGATGGCCTAGTAGCCTCTAAAGAAAGGTCCGGTTGTCAAAGGAACATGTGATTAGAATAAATGGTGGTTTTCAAAAAATTATTTTTGGACAGACTGTGTCTTTTTTGATTAACTTAAAATTATCATATGACAAATTCTACAAATGAAATATCATTCCTTTTTCATTTTTTAACTAATTTTATCTACTACTGCTGTTTATTCAAATAATAATAATATTATTGAATGAAAAACTTATATTAAGAACATTTTTGTTGGTTTTATTGTCAAAACAATTTTCTTCATTCAAAGGAAATTTAATACATAGAATTTTTAATGAAAAAATTTATTAGTATGGAGACATTTGAAAATTTTCAAATTCAACAATAATATAAAATAAAGTATATTGTTAATTTAATTATATAGATGTATAAGTAAAATTTTTAATAAAAATTTTCAAGACAAACATTATTTGCAAATAAATTGATAATTTTCAAATCAGAAATTACTAATATGAAGTCATTAAGTACGCCAGAAATTATGCTAATAAAAATAATTACACTATTGTGTAATGCCTGAAAATAATTAATTTCTTTAATATTAATATAAAAAGTTCTTTATATTTATGGGTGGGATGATATTGTTCTGATCATGATTAATTTTCTATACAATGTAAGTTATATTCCAACAAATAATTTAAAAAAAAAAAAAAAAATTTGAAAGAATTGTTATTAACTTTAGAATCTTTCCCAAAGTAAAAATGAAGCTGACATTCATTATGAATAAAATTATAATTTTTTAATTTAAGATATATATATAACAATGTATTTGAAATTTGTCAAGCTATGTTTATTTTTGCAAGAAATTTGACATCATAAAAACACATCTAATGATGTAATGTTTGATTTTTCTAAGTTTTGTCTGTGTATATACATATAATAGATTGTTCTTAACTTCCAAACTAATGTTTAAATATTTATTCATTTGTTCAATTATTTTAAATTTATTTAATAAATGCAATTAAGTAGTAAAAATAATACAATATAATTTATTACTTACTAAACAGTTACATAAAACTTTAATTAATATTAAATAAAACTAATTTTTAAAATATTTGTATCCAAACAGTAAAATTAAGCATCTTAAGTCTTAAATTAACATTAAAAATTCTTACCTTGTGGGCTAGGCATTATAGGAGTACCTGGACCAGGTGGTCCTGTGCTCGATACAGGAGGACCCTAATCAAATAAAAACATACATCAATGATGTTTTATCACAAACATTTTTTTAAAATTCTAGATTTAAATTATTATTTTTTACTACTATACTTTAATGAAAGCAAAAATAAATAAGTAAATTTTTAAATCAAGTAAATATTGCAGTTTCTGGCTCAAAAGTATTTTGTAAATGTTATGATTATCTGAACATTTCCTGTAACACTTTATTTATTAAGAACAAAAATCAAACTATTCCAATATATTTAAAGAAATAATAATTAAACTTAAAAAGTTAATAATTTATTAATGCTATTTCAGATGAAAAATAATAAATGATATAGAATCATTTAAATAAAATTTTTATGGAAGGATAAAAACAATTTTGAAATTTAAAATTGAAAAAATAATCATCTATTAAGTAATAATGACAATTAATTAATTAATTTAAATGTTAAGTTTATAAATGTTTTAACCAACATTAAGGAATTTCATTCATCTTTAGAAATTTTTAATTTAAAATGTTTTAAAATTTTAAATTTTTTCCTTTATATTAAATGTTTGTTTTCTGTAACAAAACACAATAAGATTGCATATAATAATATAAAATAAAACAGTACTTCTCAAAGTTATGAAAGCATTCACAAGTACTGACAATTACACTAATGTGTTAATGTATTGAAGATACTTGTGAACAAGCATTTTTGAAGTAAGCAATATGTGTGTAAGTTCTTGTTATTTCAAATTTTTAACATTTTGTATTTTCATATTATTAATGCATACTGACATGTATCCAGAATAATTTTATTGTAAAAAAAAATTTCTAGAAAACTATCATTAATGAATTTAAAACTAAATGCTGTATTTTGAAGAAATGGAAGTTTTGTTTCATAGCAATTACTTTCTCTGCAACCATTCTTTTTAACATATATATAGGAAAATTGTTCAAATAGAAATAAGAATTTGACTAAAATATTTTATTGATTTTATATGCAAGATGTAAAAAATATTTTAAAAGTTTTCTATTTAATATAATAACAATGAATTTAAGTTTTTTTTATGTTCTTTATGTCAAATATAATCAATTTTTGGAATGATCTCTCAAAATATGGGTATTAAATTATATTGATATTACTATAGTAATATGGTCCAAATCCCAAAAAGTGCTTTATAAAATTAGATTAGGCTTCATTGGTAGTATTAATATATACAAATTAAAGTTATTTATGCATATAAAAACAATCCTTGAAACATACCCCATAGTGACTTCCTGGAGATGCTGAAGAATAACTGATTTGCTAAAAAATAAAAAGTTTTATTATACAATAATAAACATTTTGACAATATTTATTAAATTGAACAAATTTCATCTAAAACATTAATTTTTTAACATACTGTTGTGTTAGGCTGCCATGGTCGACCACCAGGACCTGGCCTGTAAAAATATATTATTGTAAATATACTTGAAAAGAATAAAATATTAATATAAAAAAATTAGCAGCTTTACATACATGGACATAGGAGGCATGGTTGGGCCTCCAGGTCCTAGTGTGCTATTGTGAGGAGGCCTCATTCCACCATAGTTCTGAATAAAACATGAAAAAATATGAAATAATTGCATAAAAAAAATAATATATAATAAAAAGGTTTATCTTACAGCAGGATTCATAGGACCAAGTGGTTGGCCTCTGGGAGGATTCATTCTGGGATTCATAGCCATTCCTGGAGGTCCTATTGCAAATTTCAATCCACTTGAGTTAAATATTTTTGACACTAAATAAATTAATAATTAAAAAAATTCACCACAATTTTTAATGCGATAAAGTAAACAGTCTACTGTATTGAAGAGACACTACTATTCCAAAATATTCAATAATAAAGAAACAAAATTTTGTTGAAACAATACAGAGCTAAGAATAAAAATAACTGATTAGTTTAAAAATTTATGTAAAATCTTATAGTCATCTTTGAGAATACAATTTTAAATTTCATCTTATTAAAAATGAAGTTTTACAATACTGAGAGAATATTTAGTTTTCAAATTTTAAGAAATTTAAACAATTGCTGAAGTAACTAATTTTAAAAAGGTAAAAATTGTAATATTTATATATTACAATTTTCAAATATATTTTTCATAAATATTTAAAATTATAAAAATAATACATTAAAAAAATTATTGATTTCTGTATAGTTAATTATTTGTGTTCATTCATTTTATGAATATTAAAATGAATATTAAATAGTAGTATGACTTAAGAATACAGCTTTATATCATACAAATGCTTAACAGAGAAAATAATGTACTGTTTTGAACCAGAAGAAAAAAATTTAAAACTACCAGTAAGTGTTATAAATATGTAATTTTCAATCATGACCTTCAAACTTCAAATTGTCTTAGTAGCTATAAGCTAAAATATATATAGTATGTATTTGTTTAGCATGCAATATTCTTTTTTAGAAAATAAAAAGGAAAATCTGATGATAACTTCTAACATAAAAAAAAAAAAAAAAAAAAATGGACANCATGCAACTCCAATAAACTAAATTAATAGAAATTTCCTAAAAGATATTAATTAACATCAATATTAACAATAATTTAATACAATATTTACATATGAAAATAGAATACGTGAACTTTTAATATAAAAACTACAATCATCTTTTTACTAATTAAATAATAATAATGTTGAAAATTCTGTATTTGCATAGAATGAAAACGTAAAATTTTGTCACAACATATTTATATGTTTAGTAGATCAATCTCTCATATATTCAACATTATAAATAAAAATTTATTAAGAATTTCAACCTGATTTTAACCATTAAAGTTTCTAAAATTGATTAAACTGATAAACATAAATTTATGAAAATTACTCCAAATTAGTCAATTATTAACATTTATATATTATTGTCAATAAAAGAGATTCTGATCTCAAACAGAATTAGTTGAATTAATGCAAGAAAGCAAGTTTTACTCTTGCACTGCATAAAAATTTTTTTAGAAAAAGACATTCAAATTTGCTGCTAGTAATAAATATTACTAGCAGCAAATTTGTGTTTTGTGTTTCATTAATAAAGTGGAAATAAATAATCAATATTTTTATTGTAAAAAATTAATTTTACATTTATTCAAAAAGTTACTAATTGGTGATACAGGTACAAAAACTGCCATCTCTACTGAGAGCAAGCTTGAATGTGTTTTTGATCAAAATCATTAGAATATATAAAATTCAAGAATAAGTTTATAAACATGATTAATTAATAATTCAGTTAAATAGAATTTCCTATCTGAAATCTCTAAAGTAATTAGACAGCTATCAAGAATATTAGTCATAACTGAAATTATTGTAAAATACAAAAGAGGATATTGAAATAATCAAGTGACATTCTGAAACATCACAGTCTATATAGCTAAAATGAAGATTATAAAACATATTGATAAGCAGCATGGATTACTGGAAAGTTTCAAATTTTGGTTACATATTTAATATTGTTATTAGATGTATGTTTTTGTTAAAATTTTTGACTAAAGCTAAAATGTTTCCCAAAACTGAATAGCTTTGAAGCAATTTATAATAATTATTATGTTAACCAATTGGAATTATCATGTAGGCTGTTTTTTTCAAATTCCAATGGTCCATAAAGCAAAGACAAGTGTAAATAACAAAATGAATTTATTACGAAAAGTTAGGTACAAACATGATTACTTTTTAACATAGTCACCGTGAAGATTGATGCATTTGTCATATCTGTGGACGTGCTTTTCCATCCCTTTGTCATAGAATGTTGCCGCCAGTTAATTGAGATGACCTTAACAACGTTGTTTTAAAGATCATAATTAGTCTCAAACTTGTGCCCTGCTAGCCACGTTTTCAGTTCAGGAAAGAGGTAGAAGTATTTGCCACCTTGCATATAGCCCTGATTTAGTGCCAAGCGACTTCCACCTCTTTCCTGAACAGGAAAAGTGGCTAGGAGGGCAGAGGTTTGAGACTAATGATGATCTTCAAAATAACGTTGTTAAGGTCATCTCAATTAACTGGCGGCAACATTCTATGACAAAGGGATGGAAAAGCGCATCCACAGATGCATCAATCTTCATGGTGACTATGTCAAAAAGTAATCATGTTTGTACCTAACTTTTAGTAATAAATTCATTTTGTTATTTACACTTGTCTTTGTTTTATGGACTATTGGAACTTGAAAAAAACCACCCTCGTATTAGAGTTTTCCAAATACAATTACCAGTATTTTAGACAGTAGGATGACTGAAGTTATTAAAGTATCAGCCTAACTACTCTGATGACCTGGAATCAAATTTGTGTGAGGAATCCTATATATTTTGTAGTTTGTTTTATCCTGGACATTTTGGGCCCACCAAATGGCCACCTCCATTTTTAGTAAAACCTGTGATGGGTAATGATTAAAAAGGCCTCTTATTGCCTACAGCAATGGATGGGATGGGCAACCTGTCTGTAAGTAAGGGCCACATTTCAAAACTTTTGAATTGACACAGATCGCATACAAGAGAAAAGAGAAGAAAAATGTCTGTAAATTGCAATTATTTATTCATGTATAATTATAAATTAGCATGGGTATACTTAATTTAGCTTCTGAAACTGATGTAAACATAATATATCAGAAATACTTGGTTAAATATTAGTTACTGCTAGTTTTAAATTAGTTTGATATGAATCTGTTAGCCGGTTTCTTGTTTTAATAATTATTAAATTCATTGCAGGGAAAACTATTCATACACATAACTTGTAAAAAATAACATTTGAATTATTGCTGGGAAATTGATATATTTATTCATATTTTATGTGACACGGGCCACAAAAAATATTAATGTGGGCCACGTAGGCCAGGGATGGGCCGTACAAGATGGAAGGAAAAATACAACTAATTTTGGAAATAAAGCAAACTTAACTACTTTCCAATATTCTAAATTCATACATAATAAATTTTAATATTTTCACTTTTTTATTTGCTGACAATATCTTTATTAAATTTCCTTACATTCTAAACTGAGAATTATCTGAAGAGGATGAGTTGAAAATAAAATATTTATTTCTATTCTATAACAAACAATTATATAAAAGTGTGCTAATTTCTTGCCTTTTTTTTATAGTTGACTTCACATCATTGTATAATAATTAATTTTATCTTTATTGCATTATATGCAATTTATTTTCAAACTTTGTTTCTTTTTTTCTCAATTTAATTTTTTTCAAACTTTTTAATAATTATAATTGAAATTATGGATAAATGAAAATATAAAACATTTTTTGATTTAGAGTTAGTCAAATAAAAATTATTTAGATTATGAAAAGCTTCCTCCATATGTAAAAGTAAATTCTATACAATCTGCATAATGTAATTACCAAAATTTCCTGCGTATAACCCACAAAAATTGCTGTAATGTAGAGCCTGCACTTGCTTTCAAATTGACATTAAAATGGAGAATTCATAAATTATTTCAGGAAAATTTGGTTCAATTTTCCCTCTAAAATTATAATACAGTAAATAGAAAGCATCTGTTACAATTACGATCATAATAAATGTAATTTTTATTTTGATGTTTACAGACAAAAGATTCACAATTGTATATATCTTTACATTCAGAATTATATGATTTTCAGTAAAAAAAACCTCAAATTCAAAACTTTTCTATGGAATAATCTGGATCTAATTGAATTTTTAGAACAGAAATTGAAACTAGAACAAAATGGAATTGAAATAAATAAATAAATAAAAATTTCTACACAATCAATATGAAATATATCAATACAAAAAATTGTAAAGAATAAATTCTTTCTTACAGCTATTTAATGTCAATAATTATCATACATAGATTACATTATACATATAAAGCAATGTAAACCTGAATATTAATTTGAAATATTCGAATTTTATATTTTTTTGATCGCTTTTTTCATTTTCACTTATTAATTTCAAAATATCGTACTGTACATTATTTATTCAATAACTAAATTTCTCAATATGTTTGCATAACCATTTTATAAAAATAAACAGGGTCTTATCCTATAATACTTGACAACACTACATTTTGTGTTATCAAATATTACTTATAATATAAACTCTAACTAAAAAGTTATAAAAGATGACCTATTCCAAATAAGTTGGAATATAAGTTTAATTTTCATGTTCAATTCATCTCTACTATAATTTTGTAATTTTTAATACTGACTTATCAAGGAGAGTAAATGGATGCAAAATACCTCATTACAATAATGCTGTATTCAATATTGCTTTTCTACATGGTCACATGTGCCAATGTCAACTGAACAATTACTTAACATTTTCTTGCATTGCGGCATCTAGTCATTTTATTTGAATCATTCATACACATACATACACATTTATATATGTGTATGAATGATTCAAATAAAATGACATAAAAAAAATATATATATGTGGCATTTATAAAGTTTATTAATCCAACACCTATGAGAGCAGAACAGTGCCAGATCTGGATATTGCTATATATTTTGTACTAGTGCATGCATGCTGTTGTAATCTTCCAATTTGTTATTTAAGTACTTTGATGATATAGTGGATGACTGAACTATATTAATACTGAAAATCCTGCAAAAATGTTTACAAACACATTATTGCAGAAAGTCAACATTTACGGTGATCATGAACATGTACTATATACAGTGCCATAACTAGCCATTCCTGTGACCTGTGCAAGAATTTGCATTTATGCCCCTTAATTAATTAGGTTTGGGAAAATAATAAAACAAATACATGCCTTTTTTGCTCCCCTTCCAAGTGGGCACTGTGTGGGTGCACCTGTTGCCCCTGCCTAGTTACAGCACTGACGATATATATAAAATTCACAAAAATTATTTGAAGCTCTGGGTATAAAATGCCCATTTTCTCACATTGGCCTTTGGAAAAGAAAAATACATCAATCATGCATGTTACTGAACATGAAGTGCATGCACTAGCTCTAACAAGGTAATGTTTGTTTACAATATAGAATACAGGATCATTAACACTAATGTTCAAACAAATTTAAATTTTCAGATTACCAGTATGCCAGATAAATGTTTCACAAACTTCTACTCACTCTCTCCGATTTCTTTTTTTACATTTTAAATACTCTATGCCAGGGGTCAGCAGAAATGTGACACCTATGGCATGAACATTTCAGATGCACCCTCTAGAACCATAGTCATGCAAGCACAAATACATAAAATTACAAGTGTATATGTATATTTAATTTGATTTTGTGTTATTTTACGTTTGTACAGTACTTTTAATTTTTATTTTTTATTTATTACATGCATATATAAATATACATGTTTCAAAACATAATTAGTTTGTTTATTTATTACAACATTGTGGATTTTTTTCAAACATTAAACTATGCACCCTCAATGGTTTTTAAAATTTTTATTGCCCCTTAGTAACAAAAAGGTTGCTGATCCCTGCTCTATACAATTTGTCATGTTAAATGATTTTTCTATGATACTTGCTCATATGCAAATTCTTGATTTAAAAGAAAAGCATATCTACTATTATAGCATGTGTTTTGATTAATATAGTATGATTGACAAGTGACTAAACCAAAATTTTCCTGAAAAATAATCAATGAAATTTTCTTAAAGTATTAATATTAAATTCTTCCTTTTTAATATTTTCTCATATAGACACTTAAAATTAATTATTAATATCCAAAAGAATTGAATATTAAAGATAAGACTCTCATTGATAAGATGAGGCATTTCAGCTGCCAAGTTATTGTCATTTAATTGACTTAATCTGAATCAATTTTGGACTATTTTGACCAAAAATATTAATTACATAAAGCAAAGAGACACCCACAATTGCAGTAAATAATCAGGCTATAATTCGGAAATATTAATATTTACAGCTAAGCATCGGGTTTTGGGAGTTGTTTATATCTGTATATTAATTACATATTTTCTCAGATTATTTTGATAGTTCATTTGAGAAAAAAACTAAATTTTACATATTAGTTGGATTCTTTCTTTTGCATAATGTAAGATTCTAACAATATTGAAAAACAAATATCATTCCAATTTTTTACTTTATTGTTTTAATTGGATATTTTTGTGTTTTTTTTAAAGGAATGTTTTAACCTGATGGCCTAGTAGCCTCTAAAGAAAGGTCCGGTTGTCAAAGGAACATGTGATTAGAATAAATGGTGGTTTTCAAAAAATTATTTTTGGACAGACTGTGTCTTTTTTGATTAACTTAAAATTATCATATGACAAATTCTACAAATGAAATATCATTCCTTTTTCATTTTTTAACTAATTTTATCTACTACTGCTGTTTATTCAAATAATAATAATATTATTGAATGAAAAACTTATATTAAGAACATTTTTGTTGGTTTTATTGTCAAAACAATTTTCTTCATTCAAAGGAAATTTAATACATAGAATTTTTAATGAAAAAATTTATTAGTATGGAGACATTTGAAAATTTTCAAATTCAACAATAATATAAAATAAAGTATATTGTTAATTTAATTATATAGATGTATAAGTAAAATTTTTAATAAAAATTTTCAAGACAAACATTATTTGCAAATAAATTGATAATTTTCAAATCAGAAATTACTAATATGAAGTCATTAAGTACGCCAGAAATTATGCTAATAAAAATAATTACACTATTGTGTAATGCCTGAAAATAATTAATTTCTTTAATATTAATATAAAAAGTTCTTTATATTTATGGGTGGGATGATATTGTTCTGATCATGATTAATTTTCTATACAATGTAAGTTATATTCCAACAAATAATTTAAAAAAAAAAAAAAAAATTTGAAAGAATTGTTATTAACTTTAGAATCTTTCCCAAAGTAAAAATGAAGCTGACATTCATTATGAATAAAATTATAATTTTTTAATTTAAGATATATATATAACAATGTATTTGAAATTTGTCAAGCTATGTTTATTTTTGCAAGAAATTTGACATCATAAAAACACATCTAATGATGTAATGTTTGATTTTTCTAAGTTTTGTCTGTGTATATACATATAATAGATTGTTCTTAACTTCCAAACTAATGTTTAAATATTTATTCATTTGTTCAATTATTTTAAATTTATTTAATAAATGCAATTAAGTAGTAAAAATAATACAATATAATTTATTACTTACTAAACAGTTACATAAAACTTTAATTAATATTAAATAAAACTAATTTTTAAAATATTTGTATCCAAACAGTAAAATTAAGCATCTTAAGTCTTAAATTAACATTAAAAATTCTTACCTTGTGGGCTAGGCATTATAGGAGTACCTGGACCAGGTGGTCCTGTGCTCGATACAGGAGGACCCTAATCAAATAAAAACATACATCAATGATGTTTTATCACAAACATTTTTTTAAAATTCTAGATTTAAATTATTATTTTTTACTACTATACTTTAATGAAAGCAAAAATAAATAAGTAAATTTTTAAATCAAGTAAATATTGCAGTTTCTGGCTCAAAAGTATTTTGTAAATGTTATGATTATCTGAACATTTCCTGTAACACTTTATTTATTAAGAACAAAAATCAAACTATTCCAATATATTTAAAGAAATAATAATTAAACTTAAAAAGTTAATAATTTATTAATGCTATTTCAGATGAAAAATAATAAATGATATAGAATCATTTAAATAAAATTTTTATGGAAGGATAAAAACAATTTTGAAATTTAAAATTGAAAAAATAATCATCTATTAAGTAATAATGACAATTAATTAATTAATTTAAATGTTAAGTTTATAAATGTTTTAACCAACATTAAGGAATTTCATTCATCTTTAGAAATTTTTAATTTAAAATGTTTTAAAATTTTAAATTTTTTCCTTTATATTAAATGTTTGTTTTCTGTAACAAAACACAATAAGATTGCATATAATAATATAAAATAAAACAGTACTTCTCAAAGTTATGAAAGCATTCACAAGTACTGACAATTACACTAATGTGTTAATGTATTGAAGATACTTGTGAACAAGCATTTTTGAAGTAAGCAATATGTGTGTAAGTTCTTGTTATTTCAAATTTTTAACATTTTGTATTTTCATATTATTAATGCATACTGACATGTATCCAGAATAATTTTATTGTAAAAAAAAATTTCTAGAAAACTATCATTAATGAATTTAAAACTAAATGCTGTATTTTGAAGAAATGGAAGTTTTGTTTCATAGCAATTACTTTCTCTGCAACCATTCTTTTTAACATATATATAGGAAAATTGTTCAAATAGAAATAAGAATTTGACTAAAATATTTTATTGATTTTATATGCAAGATGTAAAAAATATTTTAAAAGTTTTCTATTTAATATAATAACAATGAATTTAAGTTTTTTTTATGTTCTTTATGTCAAATATAATCAATTTTTGGAATGATCTCTCAAAATATGGGTATTAAATTATATTGATATTACTATAGTAATATGGTCCAAATCCCAAAAAGTGCTTTATAAAATTAGATTAGGCTTCATTGGTAGTATTAATATATACAAATTAAAGTTATTTATGCATATAAAAACAATCCTTGAAACATACCCCATAGTGACTTCCTGGAGATGCTGAAGAATAACTGATTTGCTAAAAAATAAAAAGTTTTATTATACAATAATAAACATTTTGACAATATTTATTAAATTGAACAAATTTCATCTAAAACATTAATTTTTTAACATACTGTTGTGTTAGGCTGCCATGGTCGACCACCAGGACCTGGCCTGTAAAAATATATTATTGTAAATATACTTGAAAAGAATAAAATATTAATATAAAAAAATTAGCAGCTTTACATACATGGACATAGGAGGCATGGTTGGGCCTCCAGGTCCTAGTGTGCTATTGTGAGGAGGCCTCATTCCACCATAGTTCTGAATAAAACATGAAAAAATATGAAATAATTGCATAAAAAAAATAATATATAATAAAAAGGTTTATCTTACAGCAGGATTCATAGGACCAAGTGGTTGGCCTCTGGGAGGATTCATTCTGGGATTCATAGCCATTCCTGGAGGTCCTATTGCAAATTTCAATCCACTTGAGTTAAATATTTTTGACACTAAATAAATTAATAATTAAAAAAATTCACCACAATTTTTAATGCGATAAAGTAAACAGTCTACTGTATTGAAGAGACACTACTATTCCAAAATATTCAATAATAAAGAAACAAAATTTTGTTGAAACAATACAGAGCTAAGAATAAAAATAACTGATTAGTTTAAAAATTTATGTAAAATCTTATAGTCATCTTTGAGAATACAATTTTAAATTTCATCTTATTAAAAATGAAGTTTTACAATACTGAGAGAATATTTAGTTTTCAAATTTTAAGAAATTTAAACAATTGCTGAAGTAACTAATTTTAAAAAGGTAAAAATTGTAATATTTATATATTACAATTTTCAAATCTATTTTTCATAAATATTTAAAATTATAAAAATAATACATTAAAAAAATTATTGATTTCTGTATAGTTAATTATTTGTGTTCATTCATTTTATGAATATTAAAATGAATATTAAATAGTAGTATGACTTAAGAATACAGCTTTATATCATACAAATGCTTAACAGAGAAAATAATTTACTGTTTTGAACCAGAAGAAAAAAATTTAAAACTACCAGTAAGTGTCATAAATATGTAATTTTCAATCATGATCTTCAAACTTCAAATTGTCTTAGTAGCTATAAGCTAAAATATATATAGTATGTATTTGTTTAGCATGCAATATTCTTTTTTAGAAAATAAAGAGGAAAATCTGATGATAACTTCTAACATAATAAAAAAAAAAAAAAAACTATGGTATAGGACAATTATCAAATACAAGTAATAATAATATGGAATTTTAATGGAATTTAGTGTAATTATATATTCAAGTACTGAATAAAAAATCATTACTCCCAAATCTTGCTGTAATTTTTATTTTTGAAAAAAATATAAAATGCATTATATAAATTATATAAAGCAGAAATCATATGAAATATTACTTTGCTTATTTGAAAAGATTTTTAAAAATAAATTTTAACTTTCTTCTCTCTACAGTTTCATTCTTTTCTTACATGCATATTTTATTAAATATTGCAATAAAATAATATTTTTAATTTTTGTAGTTTCTTAAATAAAACTTCAACATTATTAAATATTTTTCTTCTTGATCATTTATTTTTAAAACAATTTCAATAAAATGTTTCCAATTATTCATAAACTTAAAGGATAACTCACTTAATGCATCATTAACAAAAAATTACTACTACAAGAGGAAATTTTCCAGGTACAGAAAAGAAAAAAAAAAAAATTCAAAGTAAATCCACAACCATAAAACATTTACCTTCATTTTAATGACATCTGAAACAAAGAGAACTCAACAGCAACTGTCAAATCTGAAGCTATTTATTACTAACTTAATTAAACTTTAGCTATTAAATGATGAATGGTGAATCCTTCAACAAAAATAATTTTTAATTGAAAATTATAATTTAGGTCTTGGGATTATTTTTGAATAATGCACTTTTAAATTTAATGATTAAAAAAAAAAACAAGCTAAAATATTCTGCTATATTGTTTAGAATATATATTACTTGTCTTAATCCATTTTTTATAACTAACTGGAAATATCATTTTTAAATCAAACAAACTTGGTGTACTGTTTTTTTATTAAAATGTTTTTTAAAATATACAAATAGATAATTTATTAAAAAAATAATCAAAATGTGTTTTCAATAAACTTTTGATCATCACTTTTTAAAGAATCATATAAAAAATTATATGTACTGCAAATTAAACAACATACAGTTTTTAGATTTTATTCATTTTAAGATCAAGACACATTATTCAAACAATAACTGACTAATTTAGTAAGTATTTAAAAAATTGCCTCACAGATTCATTTTTTTTTTTTATTAAACAAAGGATATCAGCATGAGACACAGTGTTAGTATTTGGATAAGTAAACAAAGAACATGAAGGATGGAAGAAAGATCTGCAATGCATTATGGATAATGTCTATCATACTGGTATTTAAATTGATCTACAACATGCAAATATCTTAAACGTGACTTATCTCCATTTTTGCCCAAAGTCTAGGGATAGGGGAATTAAATTCTGAAATACATTTGTTGATGGATTATGCAAAAACTGTTTTCTCTTTCTTTCAAATTATTACATAAAACAGTAAAAATCTTACTTAACAGTGAAGATATTATATATATATATACACCACACACACACAACATTGAAGATATAGGTTTTGTATCTCATATTCATTATAATGTTTTTTTAAGATAGAAAGTATTATTCATTCACAACTTCAAGCAGTGAGATAGGAGAATATGAGATATTTTACAAAGCAAAAACTTTATTACAAGATGAAATAGTGTGTTCTCCACACTGTGACAGGTAATATGTCCACGATAACTTTCTATATTTTAAGAGGTGGAAAAAAGAAAGAAAGAAAAAAAAGCGGATCTATTTCCCAACTGGACCACTTGCAACAAATGTGAATGGGTAGAAAATATGGTAGTTGGATGTATTGTATATATCTACAAAGAGAAGCAAATCTATTATAAAATTCTCGTATTCCAAAACAAATAGGAGACTGCTAGCGTTCCGTTTCATTACATTAAGTGAAAGGCATTTTCAAAGTCGTAGTCTATCCATGCAAAACTTCAAACATTAGTTTGGCGACGACTGCAAATTTATACAATTCACCTAACAAACGAATGTCTTTCCAAAACCAACACGACAAAATATTGACAACTAGTGCCGATTTTCGATCGATGCTCAATCCCCAAGGAGACCAGGCTTTCGTCAATTAGCTCTGCTTTATTGAAAGGCAAAAAGGTTGCAAAAATAGTAAGTCCTGTCAGTAACCTCGCAATCTTTCTAATATAAACGTAAATTAATTAAATGAAATATTTCAATTTTAGGGCTTACTCGTTTAATATCCGAAACATTTTATTATATAATTAAAATTTTTTTGTACACGTTTAAGTTTTATTATTTTAATATCGCGGGAAAAATAAACGCAAGACAATTAAGCGATTTAAAAATAAGAATAAAAAAGCGCCATATATAGTCACCCGCTTCTTTCTTTAGCCTAGTCATATTTCACTGGAGTGTCATCACAGGGGAGAAACAAAACACGAAAACCGTATGACTCTCCTCTGAACTCACCCCACGTAGTCGAATGGTAAAAATAAAAAAGGAAAAAAGATACAGATGAAGGAAACCGGACGAATACGGAATGACCCATTCCCTTAAAAAGAAGCTGTCCTAGTTTCTATTCGGAAGACTAAAACTTGTGAAATATTTATCATAGGGAGTAGAGAGAGCATTGGCGTGTGCGTGTAAAGCAAACCGACTAACAGAGTGCTGGGAACAATAAAATTCCTTTACACCGTCCGTTGTTGAAATTGAGGACGAGTAGCGAAGCTGAATCGAACGACAGGCAATAAAACACAGCCGTCAAGCAGATCTTAAAAATATAACAATATACCGCTATATATCAATGCGACACTCTTTTCGCAGACGGTTGCTACGACGATAAATAACAACAGGTATAGTTCAAGTCTTATACAACACCTTTGAGAGACGTTGGAAAGAAAATGCGTATCTTCTGTATCCACTCGTTATACACAGTATAGGTTACAGATCGATAATACATACACCGATCACCTTATCCCATTAGAATACAAGTCACATTAGATTAATCAGATACCTCTATGCCATTCATCCAAAGAAAAGAGACAATTCGTGCGAAAGATAGAATCCCGAAGCACCAATATTTTAATGATGTCATAAATCAAACTGATTGTACGTTACGTATCATTAGGCTAGACTTTACTTTATTGCCCACGTGGGTGTTAAAAGCCCATCTCCCAAGTTATATTTGTCTAATAAGGCACGACTTCTGACGTAATAGCTACGCGTGTTGTAGATCAGCGAAATTATATAATATAAGTTGTGCAAGTATAGTAAAAATAATAATATAAGTCTAACGTAATTAGGCTAACTCGTATTCACCCACGACACTATTCTCCATTCCCTACCATTTTTCGATTAGTTCGAAGCTTTTCGCCCATAGCAACTAGAATATGCCACTTTTTTTTTATTTTATCCAACAGCTGCTACTAATTAGTGACGAGTGACAGCTGTCAGCTCTAGTCATAACACGAGCAAGATGAAGACAGAACCACCGAACCGGGTATATAATTAACGACATTCTGCGCAACTGGCATCGAAGAGAAGAAACAGGTGGCGGATATTCTGTCCCGAAAACAAATTTCGTTAATGCATAGTCCAATTTCGACCGATTCACATTTACATTTAGCAGAAACGAGTCTCTTACAACAGCCAATAAAACGCAATAAAATGGTATATATCATTCCTATTAAATGTGAAACAGAACCGGAGTCGATACACAATTCACGTATATCATCTTCTGTGACATGTTAATTTTTATTACTGATTACGTTGACCAATTTGGGAATAGTAGGCCCAGAAAATTCTTTCTGGTCCATTTCAGATTTTACAGTTGCAATTAAACTATAACACTATAAATGATGTAAAATTTATCACTATTCAAACTTAATATTTATGAATGTTAGCTTACATACTAACTTTTGATATCTAAAGATATAAATTACAAGTAAAAATAACTATTATTATTATTATTATTATTATGAAATTAAATTATAATTTAATACATNTAAAATTTTGTCACAACATATTTATATGTTTAGTAGATCAATCTCTCATATATTCAACATTATAAATAAAAATTTATTAAGAATTTCAACCTGATTTTAACCATTAAAGTTTCTAAAATTGATTAAACTGATAAACATAAATTTATGAAAATTACTCCAAATTAGTCAATTATTAACATTTATATATTATTGTCAATAAAAGAGATTCTGATCTCAAACAGAATTAGTTGAATTAATGCAAGAAAGCAAGTTTTACTCTTGCACTGCATAAAAATTTTTTTAGAAAAAGACATTCAAATTTGCTGCTAGTAATAAATATTACTAGCAGCAAATTTGTGTTTTGTGTTTCATTAATAAAGTGGAAATAAATAATCAATATTTTTATTGTAAAAAATTAATTTTACATTTATTCAAAAAGTTACTAATTGGTGATACAGGTACAAAAACTGCCATCTCTACTGAGAGCAAGCTTGAATGTGTTTTTGATCAAAATCATTAGAATATATAAAATTCAAGAATAAGTTTATAAACATGATTATTAATAATTCAGTTAAGTAGAATTTCCTATCTGAAATCTCTAAAGTAATTAGACAGCTATCAAGAATATTAGTCATAACTGAAATTATTGTAAAATACAAAAGAGGATATTGAAATAATCAAGTGACATTCTGAAACATCACAGTCTATATAGCTAAAATGAAGATTATAAAACATATTGATAAGCAGCATGGATTACTGGAAAGTTTCAAATTTTGGTTACATATTTAATATTGTTATTAGATGTATGTTTTTGTTAAAATTTTTGACTAAAGCTAAAATGTTTCCCAAAACTGAATAGCTTTGAAGCAATTTATAATAATTATTATGTTAACCAATTGGAATTATCATGTAGGCTGTTTTTTTCAAATTCCAATGGTCCATAAAGCAAAGACAAGTGTAAATAACAAAATGAATTTATTACGAAAAGTTAGGTACAAACATGATTACTTTTT